CTTCGTCGGATTCGTGCTAAATTTCATCGAGAAGATCATTATCCAACTCATCGCCATCAGCTTCCACCTGCGAACTTACCAGGACCGTATTGAGCTGAACAAGTTCCAGATTGGTAGTTTGGCGAAGCTGTACAGGTTTTCCAAAGAGAAGATTGCCATGGAAGATTCCGAGTTTGAGCAGGGCGACGACAATGCTCCATCGGGCGCGCGCACCCCCGGTCAGGTTCTCACAGAGGCGCAAAAGAACATCAAAGTCGGTTTCAACAAGTTTGGAGACATCGCTGGAAAGGTCGCTGGGGACTTCACCGGTCGTGCGGTTACTGGCAGTGGCCATCCTCACCAGGTTGTTCTGCAACTCATTGGTACTACCAGCGGCGCTCAGGTTCTGGCTCGCCGTCTGTATCGTACCTTTGCGCGACCTGAGACCGAGACTGTTCATTCCGAGGATCTCAACAATGCCTTCGACAGCGACGAGGAAGCCACTGCTGCATTCTCTATGTTCGACAAAGACATGAACGGCGATATCTCCATGGAGGAACTCGAGGCTGTCTGCGTCGAAATAGGCCGTGAACGCAAGTCTATTACCGCCTCCCTGAAGGATCTCGATAGCGTCGTCTCCAAGCTCGACGATGTCTTCATGTTCATAGTGCTGATCATCACTATCATCGTGTTCATCTCGCTGATCTCGACCTCCGCCGCCGGTGTCCTAACATCCGCTGGTTCGACCCTTCTGGCTCTATCTTGGCTCTTCTCAGCAACCGCTCAGGAGTTCCTCCAGTCGTGCATCTTCGTCTTCGTCAAGCACCCCTACGATGTCGGTGACCGTGTCATGATTTACGGTAACACCGGAGATCTCGGCCGCGGTGATGATTACTTCGTCAAGGAAATCGCTCTCTTCTACACCGAGTTCAAGAAGATGCAAGGTCACGTTGTCCAAGCGCCCAACAGCTACCTCAACACGCTCTTCATCCTTAACCACCGTCGATCGGGTGCCCTCGCCGAAGCCATCCCCATCATCATCAAGTTCGGTACAACGCTCGAGCAAATCGAAAAGCTCCGCAACGTGCTCCTCGAATTCGTCACCGCCGAGCAACGCGAGTACCAAACCAACATCCTCACCGAACTGCGCGCCGTCCAAGAAGTCCACTGGCTCGAACTCAACGTCGTCTTCTTCTACAAGTCCAACTGGCAAAACGAACTGCTCAGATTGCAGCGCCGCAACAAGTTCATCTGCGCCCTCACCATGGCAATCCAAGAGTGCGAAATCGAAGGACCCCGTATGCGCTACCCCGGTCAGAAGGAGTCTTTCCCGGTTTATATGCAGAATCTGCAGAACCCTGCTACACCTGGTGTCGGTATCAACGGCAACCCAGACCACCCCAACGGCACCATCCGCAACCAAGCTCAAGACCAACCCTTCGTCGCACCCGCAGAAGGCACATCAGACTCTGCCACCGGAACCGGCGCAGGACCAACCCGCACCGGCTCCATCCTGAAGAAGCCAGAGACCCTCTCCGCAATGGGCCGCCGCGTCGACTTCTCGCTCGGAATGAAATCAATGGGCTTAGACGACCCCAGCGGCGACGTCCTCGACGACCGCGAAAACGCATCCCGCGCCCGCGCAACCGTCGTCCGTGTCACCTCGCCCTCCCGCTCTCAAGACCGAAACAACGACCGCCAATCCAATGACAGCGCACGCAGCACCGGTCTCCAACGCGTCGGCACAAACGCCTCGTCCACCACCCGCGAACGCACGCACCGAAACCGCTTCTTCAGTCGCAACCGCTCTGGCAACGATGTCGAAGCTGGTATGGCTGATATTCCAGAGGGTAGCGGTTACGACACCCCGCCTAAGAAGAAGAACACGCTTGATCCGCGCAGTGGCCTTATTAGTCCCCGTGCTGTGAGGAGCAGTGGCGGAGAGGATGAAGTGCCTATTACGAGGGTGGGCAGTGCGGATGTGCCTAGGAGTACGGGTGCGTTGGCGCCTAGTACTGCGGATAGTGAGAGGACGTTCGGTCCACCAGCGAGAAGTCGCACGGAAGGGATTGAGATGAGGAGGTTTCATTGAGGAAGCTCTTTGACTCTGTCATCCGAGGTGTTGAGACAGCTGCGGAGTTGAAGCTGTCAGAAAAAGTCTCATTCTGTCATTCCCTCCTTCTATTTCTCGCGTCTGTACAGCGATATCGCTCAGCGTTTTAGTACTCCATTTACACTAGACTAGTCGACAGACAGATAGCCAAGGGCAGTGCGCCGGGCTCCTCTCCTTTCCTTCAATTTGTAGATTTGTAAATAATTCTTTTTCCAGCTTTGAAGCCCTATCGTTGGGAGACCAACGAGATAGTTCCAATAAATTGCGAAAACATCGCTACTTCTCAGAACCGACAAAGTTTCGCGATCGAGGGTTTCACGTGCCATCATTCACATCATTTTTACATCACAACAAGAGCAGATTATCGTTTGAAAGTAAGACTATGCATTCGCGCATAGTTTCTCGATTCCAAGACCACTAATCCCCCCAGCTCGTCGTAGCAAGCCTTACAAACAACATGATTCCCTTTGCCTCCTTCCCGTGTCTCTAAAAACCTAATACTCGCCCTCCTCAACGTCCTCCGCGTCAAGCGAGTCCTCAGCAACCTCCTCGTAATCCTTCTCCAGGGCAGCGAGATCCTCACGTGCCTCGGAGAATTCTCCTTCCTCCATACCCTCACCCACATACCAGTGAACGAAAGCGCGCTTCGAGTACATGAGATCGAACTTGTGGTCAAGGCGGGACCAGGCCTCGGCAATGGCGGTGGTGTTGGACAACATGGCGACGCTGCGGTCGACGGAGGAGAGCTCGCTGCCGGGAACGCTGATGGGCCTGGGATGTCTGTTAGAAAAGATGCATTCTGACACAGGTTAAAATGGACGTACTTGGTGTAGTTGATTCCGAGCTTGAAACCAGTGGGGCACCACTCGACCAGGTTGAAGGAGGACTTGGCCTTGAGGGCACCGGCGGCGGCAGAGCAGTCGCGGGGAACAATGTCTCCACGGTACAGAAGTGCGACAGCCATGTACTTTCCGTTGCGCGGGTCGCAGACAACCATCTGGTTGTTGGGCTCAAAGCCTGTCGGAGTTAGCAAAATATCACAGATACTGCAAGGCCGTACGAAGACATACACTGGAAGGTCAGGTCGGAAACCTTGAAGCTCTCGTGGGAGCTCTTCTTGGCCGAGATGACAGGCGCGTAACTGATGAGCGGGTAGTGGATACGCGGGTATGGCACAAGGTTGGTCTGGAACTCGTTCAGATCGACATTGAGCGCACCATCGAAGCGCAAGCTGGAGGTGATGGAGCTGACGACCTGGGCGATCAGGCGGTTGAGATGCTCGTAGTTGGGACGGGGAATGTCCAAGCTGCGCCTGCAGATGTCGTAGACAGCTTCGTTGTCAACAAGGAAGGTGCAGTCGGAGTTCTCGATGGTGCTGTGTGTCGACAGAACAGCGTTGTAGGGCTCAACAACGGAGGTAGACACGCGAGGAGCAGGGTATACGGCGAATTCGAGCTTGCACTTCTTGCCGTAGTCGGTCGAGAGGCGCTCGAGGAGGAGCGCACCGAAGCCGGAACCGGTACCACCACCGAACGAGTGGAAGATGAGGAAACCCTGGAGGGACGAGCAGTTGTCTGTGTTTGTTAGTAGGCGCATTGAGCCGATGCCGGGGAGTGTGCTTACCAGCAACGCGACGGATCTTCTCAATGACGCTGTCGACCATCTCCTTGCCAATGGTGTAGTGACCACGCGCATCTACTCCCGTCAGTATCTCTGCATCTGCATTCCCAATAGCTTCCAAGACGCACAGTTGTTGGCAGCATCCTCCTTGCCGCTGATCAACAGCTCAGGGTGGAACAGCTGGCGGTAGGCTCCAGTTCGGATCTCGTCAATTGGCGACGGGTCCAAGTCGACGAAGATGGAACGAGGCACGTATTTGCCGCTGCCGGTCTCGGTGAAGAAGGTCTCGTAGGAGCCACCCTCGCCGAGCTCCTTCGCATCGGGGTTGGGACGGCCATCGGGCAGCAGGCCGTGCTCGAGGAGGTACCTGGGGGTATCGTGTCAGTCTTGACTGTAGGCTTCGGGGCGCATGCGGTTCGCGACAACGTACAGCTCCCAGGCGCTGTTGCCCAGCTGGGTGCCAGCTTGGCCGATGTGAAGGTGGCAGATCTGTAGCTTGATGTTAGCATTGCGCGTGCTGAAATCATTCAATTTCTTGGAGTGTTCCAATCTCCAAGCTCTTTCATCTCTTCTTGCTTCTTGCTATTTAGCCACGGTAGAGCTTCATCTCGTCCATATCGGCGCAAGAAGCCCCCGCTTCCCTTCGCATACTGCGATTGAACACTCCACCAGAAACAAGCCGACTTGACATACCTCTCCTCGCATGGTTACGGTGTTGCTGTGTCAAACAGACGACTGTCGAAGGAACCTCTAGTTGCCGGCGTCGACGCTGGAGGCAGAAGTGTTCTGGGTTCAAGCGGTGAGGAGCGCCGCGTTGGACTAGCTTGGTGGGGTCGCTGCAGGGGCCGCACGGTTTTGTTTACGCGACCGTCGCGACAAAGGCGCCTTGCCACTTACAACCAACAGGACCGTGGCGCCCATGCGGCACAGCGGGGAGACCGCCTTTTGTCAGGGATCCCTCTTCTTGCGGTGTGATGAGCCGATGAAACTGCGCTTTGAAAGACTTTGCAGCTGTCAATCTACGGTGTGAAGCTAACAACTGGTATATTAGTGAAGTATAAAGATGCCGATCCTAACGATTTGAGCGTAAGCCTCGTGCGCCAAGTTGGATGATAATGCGAACCATTTCCATTTCTAGTCTAAGCTGCCTCGATTGAACGGACAGGGGGATATCTCATGTGCTGAAGGAAACCAAAAGCGCCTCTCATGCTTCTTTGTGTGTTCGCGCTTGTCTCGTATGCCGTAGGAGCCCTAGGGTGAGTACGACAATGCTCCTTACATCTCAGCATTACTCTCCAGGCCCATCGGCCACAGCCTCCTCGCCCTTCTTGCTCCACTCACCAGCCGAAGCATCGATTTCACGCGTCGCACTCTCTCTAGCTCCACTCTTGCTGTAAAACTCGTGGACGTCCTCGCATCCCTTTGGCGTCCTGCACAGCTTGCGGGCATCTGCAGACGCCGTCTTCCAAATCACCTCTCTGACCTCTTTGCCGACCTTCTCAATAGCGTCCATAGCCCAAATGACATCAAGATGCTCGTACCCCTCGATGACCTTGGAGTGTACGACATCGACATGTGGCTCTCGACCGTGTTCGAAACGGCGTAAAAGACGACGACCATCTACTAGGTCGTCGGAGCCACAGACCCATAATGCAAAAGGAGGAGTTTGCGGACCGTACCACGCGTAGCGCTCAGCTTCTCTCCTGTCCTTCTGATGCTCATCGTCGGAGTCATGTGGCGGACTTCCGGTCTTAGTTTTCGTCTGCTCGATCTCCTCGTCTTCCTTATCTTCCATGATCTTCTCGTCTCGTGTGGCCAAGATGCATTTCTGTTTCGCGAAACATTCCCGCCCGAGCCACCATCTCATACTCTCTGCACTGACATAGACGGGAGAGAATTGAAACATGCGATTTCTCAGATCACGTTCCCAGCGGTCGTCCGTCCAGTTGAACAGAAAGGCGAAGACACGATAACCCATGGAGCCGTAGAATTTTCCGGGAAGGAGACCATGCATAACCATCATGAATGGAATGAAGGCGTGGATGCCGAAAACTGTCCGGAACATGTTTGGACTGATGACTTGCATGAACTTGAACTGGGCTTTTCCGATCAAGGGACCAGCGTAGGCGGCAGGTGCCAGAGCGCAGAACACAGATATCCTTTCGCCAATCTCTGGTCGCTGTTCTTTTGCCAAAGCGACAAGGGTTTGTGTGGTGCCCTGGCTGTGCGCAATGAGACCCAGCTTTTCAAATCCGGTCTCCGAAAGTACGCGAGAGATAAGGGCAGGCAAGTCCATGACACCCATCTGACGAATGTTCCAAGCCCACATGCGCGGGTCTCCGTATTGCAAAGTTGTATGGCGAGGTTTGAAACCGCATCTGTTGTTTCCAAGCCAGACATCGTAGCCAGACTTGGCGAGGAAGAAAGCAAGACTGTCGTCATCGTTCGTGCAGTAAGCGCCTGCGGACTGCAATAGGCCGTGTATCATAAGGACTGGGTACTTCTTTTCGCCTTCTTCGTATTGCGACCCAGCAACACCCGTGCGATCTTCAGGGAAAAGCTCTGGCGAATGCGGGGAACGCTGGCCGTCATTCGTGCGTTTGTAGTCACGAGGATTGTAAAGATGCCAGAGTTCGATGATGAAACCGTCTTCTGTCTGGACTTCAAAGATCTCGCAGTCCAGTCCCACTCTTCGTGCATAGTGGCGCACATCGCAGACCAGAGGATCGGGACCGCCTTCTAACGGCTCAAACTCATCTGTTGTTCCGCCATCTTCTCCATTCTCCAGTTTTTGAGCTGACGGCATTGTGTCTCGCTTCTTCCACGCTCTTTCTGCCTCTCTTCTTGCTTGCTTTCGCTTCGTTTCCTCTTCGTAGAACGGTCTTCGCTTCTCAGCATCGCGGAAAGTGAGCAGTAGAAACAGGTGTTTGCACATGCCAGGAAGGGACGTAAAGCCTGCACCTAAGACTATGACGAGCAGGAACAAGAATGACAAGATGCCAGACGAGACTCGGAAGAACCAACACTGGCATTTCCTTAGAAGTGTTGGAGGTCCGTACATGGGTAGAGGCGGGAACAGAGGATTTGTCTTCGAAGGCGCTTTCGAGTCACCTAGTGGGACATCAGACTTCCCCTCGCCATTCATGTCTGCTTCTTTCGGAGGTATGCCATGTATTGTGGTCGCGTTTCAGCCAGTACTTCGGTACTAGATTCGTTAATTAAACTTATTCTAATTTTATTAAATTTAATATTTATACCTATTCTAGCAATTCTTCTATACGCTATACGCTGCTATAGTCTATTATTCTTAGCATTAGTTAAGGTAACGCTATACTAAGGCTATCTATGCAATATTCTTATTACTAAATAAAGACTTTATAAACGCTGCCTTATTCTTATTTATAATAATAGGCTAACTAATCTTAACTATTAGCTTTGCTATTTCTTTTATCTACTACTTAAAGTAGCATACTACTATTATAGTATTAACTTCTCTGCTAACCTATATAGTTTTTAGAATACGTTTTTATTTCTCTATTATAAGTATACAGCTTTCTACTTTTATTACTACTACTATAGCTTTGCTATTAATATTTTAGACTTTATAGTTATATTTAGTATCTTTAAAAGTAGCTACTTAAATATTAGGTATAGCTATATATATACGTAGAATCTTAATAGTCTTAATAGCCTATAGCTTTAGAGTATTAACGCCTAGTTGTTTAAGTATATTTAGTATAGAATTTATAGGCTCTATTATAGTAGAAGCTATAAAAAAGATAGTATAGTAGTTAAACGTAGAGAACATTTTATAACTTTTAAGTTAGTAAGAGTAGTAGTAATAATAAACTAATAGTACTTACTTAGTATCTTAGGCAATGTAGTGTAAGAGAGAAAGAAGAGAAGAATTAGAGCTAGATTTTGTGCGCCTAAGGCTTCTACTATTTGCTACTATAACTATACTTTATAACTTTAGTTATTTCTTTATACTTAAAAGAGCTTATAGAGTTTTATAGTACTGTTATAGAGGTACCTTCTAATAATTTAAGGAATTTTTTATTTATAGCTCTGCCTAGGCTAAAAGGTCTAAGACTATCGCTAAGCATTTATTGCCGCAGGTAGGCGGAGGGCCTGTTTTTTTGTGAATTTGATTCGTCTGGAAGTCTACAAGCTTTAATACCCTAGTGTACTTAACAAAATCAAAATCATGCCATGTATCGTTCCATCTTTTGCTTCGCGCAGCCGCGGTGAGAAGGATTCTTTCTTAGTAGGATCACGGTCGTCAATAATGTCTCGCAACTCGTTGAGCTTGGTCGCTTCTTCCAGAGGAACAGCAGGTAGTCGATGGCCGTCGGCAGTTTCGATGACAGGATCTTGCGGAGTTATGAACCGTGCTTCAACCGCCTGTGTGGAACCTGTGCCCTCGTTCTCTTGCTCTGGTGTGTATTGTCCGAGACGCTTAGCCTGGTGTGCAAAGTCGACTGCAGCCTGTGTCTTGGACTTTCTCTTTTCTTCATGATGGTTAAACTGCTCTTCAACACGGTGTTTGGCGGCTGTAATAGAGGCCTTCGGCATATTGATCTGGGGAAAGCCCTATGATTCGGCGACGGTGGTGTGGAGCGTCCAGGGTCGCGTGGAGCATAGGTACGGATGCCGGCAAATTAGTCCCTTCTTCAGTGTTGTAATCCCGAGTGGGCGGATCGCAGTCCTCTGTACACGCAAAAGGGCTGTGAGATGCTGGAGCGCGGTTGAGGGACATGTTGCGGCTTTTTTGTCAATCGCAGTTTTGACGCGGTGGCTGTCCGCGCCTTGTTTGGCAAGAGCATTACGTCAGGAATGGATGAGGAAGCGGCAAATCAGCGATCATGCTGCAGAAGGATGCATCTCAACGACCACATTTAGAAACCCCATAGCGGGTGATGCAAGCAGGGTTTGCGGTTTTGTGGCAATGGTTTGCATGTCGCAGGCACTATTTATTAACATGTGAAGAGGCTGCGGACTTGACTCCGGATTCGCGAATTCCAACGTCAAGCAATGTTAACAGATAGCGAAACTGAACATCAGTTATGTCGGAAGGTATCAGAAGAGTGGTATCTAGACTTGATGTCGCAGATATACTGCTTGTTGAAGATATGCACATGTTGTGGTCGACGTGTGACGTGTGATGTGCGACAGGCCACTTGCGGCCAACTGAAGCTTCGTCAAACCTCAGCGTGTCGCGTCAACTTGACTACAGATTCGAACAAGACAAGCCAGCGTGTAGTTCTGAATCGTGCGTGCCCGTTGGATTCCTGCTCCCGATCAGTTGAGTGGACGCGGGGATTCGTGGCAGGTAACCATGTCCGAGCGGGCTAGTTCTGCCGAGGCAATGCGGCTCTCTGGTGCTATCTGATGCCCGGGCTGATCGCACGCAACCAACAGAGCCGCGAATGCTCATACACCTGTCCATTGAGGCAGACATCCCTCGTTAATCCATCATGGACGCGCAGAATGGAGTCGCCAACCCACGGAAAAGAAGACGGAGAAGACGTCTTGACCGCCCTCCTATTTCGGCGCGACTACTGCTCGACGACCGCGTGAAGGGAGAGGTCGGAGTGCTGTCGGAGGATCTCTTCAACGATCTGTTCCCTGGAGTGAGAAGCAAGAGCGCTGGTATGTGGAAGGAATGTTCGGTAGTAGATGGGAGAGGTGGCTGACAAGAAGAATAGCCAATGGAGACACGCCAGACTCGGATCGCATCCAACACGTCGCAATCACCCCGTGGCTGCCGACCTCCATCGCCGCTTCCCAGAACACTCCCTGGACCATCCTGCCAGTGCGACCGGCCGACAAGACGGAAACCGGCACAGCGCGCCCGCATTCGTCACTCCAGATCCCCACGTCGTCTCTCGCACTGCAGTCCTTCTCCCAGCTCCTCCAAAATGTCGCCCCGAACAAGACACAGAGACGGGATACGCCCATCGAGGTGCGCATATACGATGTTGTGCCGGTCGGGCTTGATACAGTCTACGTCAATCTGGACACGGAAGCGCTGCGGAAGCTAGATGAGGTGCATGCGAAGTTTGGCGGAGGCTTCATTGCTCAGATGAACGGCTCATCACGAGCTCCGAAAAGCCGCTATGTGGAAGCGAACGGAACAAAAGGCAAGGCGGTGGATCTCGCCGCGCAAGAGGAGGCCTGGCGACAGGCCGTACGCGAAGCCCTACAACTACCTACCGTCCTTCATACTGGCGACCTGCTTCCTCTGAAGCTTCCCGCCCATCCCATTACCCATGTCCCACCTCCACCAGCCAAGATCAGCGCCTCCGAGCCCGTGTCGCAAGGCCTCTTGCTACCGAGCACGAGGATCGTGATACTGCAATCGCATCGAAGCAGCTCTAAGCAGCCCGTCATCATGCCTCCGGTGAAACAGCCTCCGACGACCAATGGATTTGGCGACGATGATGAGGCTGACGACACCTCGAATGACACCTTCTACTCGGCCGCAGAGGACAACTCGCGCAATGTGTCTCCACCCGACGGGGAGTCTACAGACAACTTCGAATCAGAGCTCTCGGAGAGCGATGCGGGAGACCTGTCCGACGAGTCCGACGACATCATATCGCTGAACGCGCCTATGCTCCCGCCTCAGTCATCCGGTGCACTTTCAATCTTTTCCTCCGCGACCCCACGACCCGGCAACTTCGGACGCCCAAATGGCATCGCAACGCCAGGGTCGGTATACTCCAATTTTACAGCTACGACAGCCCGTGGTGGTCCGGCGAATAAGAGCAAGGTCTTCAAAGCCCAGGGCCTTCTCCAGCGTGTCCCAGATGATCTTATTCACCCGAAGCCGGGAAGCGAGGATGACGAGGAAGCGCGCGTATTTGTCGACATCAACACACTGGTCAAAGTCGGTTGCTTTTCGGGCGACTGGGTCAAGCTTGGGGGCACCGAAGCCCCTTCATCACATCCGCTCTGGGGCTTGGGTGCATTTGGCGGAGTAGACGAGGAAGATAATACGAATTGGCGCCCCGTCAGGGTCTTTGGCCTGCCAGAAAACATGTCCAAGAAGGTTGCGCGATATCCGGTACAAAAGATGGCAGATACCGACCGAAGAAGTAGTTTCTCGGGCTTCTCGCAACCAACCTCGTCATTGCATGCCTATCTCTCGCCAATTCTTCTCGCAAACCTAGGCAGTCCTTCTCACCTCCGCATCACTCCACTAGCCCCCAGTCAGTCCTCTCATCTTCCTAGGAGCGCCATTCAGAAACCACGTCTGAACAGCTCTTCTTTGCCTCCGTCTGCCAAAGAGGTCACCCTTATGAAGGTGTCAACGCCTCTGTCGTCAGATCGTCTACTTCAACCCAGTCTCTTCGCGGCATTGAAAGACCACTTTGAGCAAAAGAGGCGGATTGTAAAGAGTGGTGATCTGATAGGCGTATCAATCGACGAATCGCTTGGTCGAGCAGTATTCCAAACTACAACAGAAGAAGACGCTGGCAACGATGAGCTGCTGGCAAGAGCCAAACCGACTGCTAGCGATGAAAGCACCAGTGTCAGCAGCCGTAATCCAAAGGTCGTTTCCTGGTTCAAAATTGGCAACGTATCGAGCTCTACTCATGCATCTCATGATGGCGAAGAAGCCGACATCTGGGGTGGTGCTGTTACAGTAGATGCTGCCAGCACGAAGATGGAGATGAACGGCAGCGAGCAGGGCAAGACTCCAGCTCCCATCAATAATGCCTGGCAATACTATCTTGGTGCCAAACGAGCCCCTGTTTCGAGCTCGCAGAAGACGATGTCACTAGACGAGCTGCCCAAGCCCTACATTTCATCACTTCGCAGACGGTTGCGAGAACTCATGTCTGTGGCTACCAGTCCGCGAGCCATCCACCTGGGCCTGCCACCTATCGCAGTCTTGATCACCTCGACTCAACGTGGCATCGGAAAGTCTACTCTCGCTACGAAAGCTTGCGAAGATCTCGGCCTGCACACTTTTGCGATTGATGCCTTTGACATCATCACCGAGGGTGGTGCTGGAGGTGGCGATGTCAAAACAGAAGGATTTCTGAAAGCTAGGGCAGAACGAGGGTTGACATGCGGCGCTGAGTTCACAGCATTGCTCGTCAAGCACGTCGACGCACTCAACGCCGATCGCATGAACACCGCGCTGAAAGAGATATTGGCCGACTCTCGCGTGCTAATCGCAACTACGACCGAGATCGACAAGGTGCCCGAAGGTGTCCGAGGACTCTTCACCCATGAGATTGAGATGACAGCACCCGATGAAGGCGAACGAGAAGGTATTCTAAGAAGTATCGTCGATGATGCCGGCATCAGGTTGTCTCCCGAGGTCGACCTGGGTAACGTCGCTGTGAAAACTGCCGCTCTAGTAGCCGGCGATCTCGTCGACGTCGTCGATCGAGCTTTAGTCGCAAAGCAGCAACGTCTCGAAGCACTCGCCGCGTCCTCTACAAAATCGCTCTCATCATCCGAGACGATTACTACACGCGATATCGAACTAGCAGGAGGTCACTTCAGCAACAGTCTCACAAAAGCTGATCTGGATACCGCAGTAGATGCTGCACGCAAGAACTTCGCAGATGCAATTGGAGCCCCCAAGATCCCCAACGTCGGATGGTCAGATGTCGGTGGTCTCACGCACGTGAAAGACGCAGTCATGGAGACTATTCAACTTCCCTTGTCACGTCCTGAGCTCTTCGCCAAGGGCATGAAGAAGCGCAGTGGTATCTTGTTCTACGGTCCACCCGGAACAGGAAAGACGCTGCTTGCAAAGGCCATCGCTACAGAGTTCTCTCTCAACTTCTTCAGTGTCAAGGGACCTGAGCTGCTCAACATGTACATTGGTGAGTCTGAAGCCAATGTACGTCGTGTCTTCCAACGCGCCCGCGATGCCCGTCCTTGTGTTGTTTTCTTCGACGAATTGGACTCTGTCGCACCCAAGCGTGGTAACCAAGGTGACAGCGGTGGCGTTATGGACCGTATCGTCAGTCAACTGCTCGCCGAGCTCGACGGTATGAGTGATGGAGGAGAAGGTGTTTTCGTCATTGGAGCAACTAACAGACCCGATCTACTCGACCAAGCCCTACTGCGACCCGGTCGCTTCGACAAGATGCTGTACCTGGGTGTCTCCGATACCCACGAGAAGCAGCAGACCATCTTGGAAGCTCTGACAAGGAAGTGCGTCATAACCCCCTCCCTGTTACTCTATATCCCACAGATGCTAACATATTTTGCCAGATTCACACTCCACCCCTCCCTCTCCCTCCAACGCGTATCCCAAGGTCTCCCCTTCACATACACCGGAGCAGACATGTACGCCCTCTGCTCCGACGCCATGCTCAAAGCCATCACCCGCTCTGCCAAGATCGTCGACGAAAAGGTCGCTGCCCACAACGCCACCCATTCCCCTCCCATCACCATTGCCTATTTCTTCGACCATCTTGCCACAGAAGAAGACACCGCCGTCATGGTCACCGAAGAAGACTTCATGGAAGCCCACAAAGAACTCGTACCTAGTGTTAGCGCGGATGAACTCCGGCACTACGATAGGGTCAGGAAACAGTTTGAAGGTGCGGGCAAGAAGGAGGATAAGAAGGAGAATGGCGCTGCGCCGGCTGTTCAGCCGGCGACTAGTGCGAAGGGAAAGGGTAAGGCAAAGGCGCCGATCAACGAGGTTGAGGATATGGTTGTCAGGACGGAGAATTTGGAGGTTAATGGGTTTGGCAACGGGGATGCGAATGGGGCGGCTGGGGGGAGTGGGAGTGGAAAGGGGAAAGGCAAGGCGCCGGCGAATCATACGCCGGGTAAGAGTAGTGTTGATATCGCTGAAGGGGGCTTTGGCGATGCGACCATGGACGATGATTTGTACTCTTAGTGGCTTGTCTTGCTAATTGTAAATGATTGCCCTTGCATGGCACGTTGTACATGGTTTCGTGCATAGTTTTGCCGACTGATCCTTTTGTGGGATTCTTCGTGTGTGTTGCTGGTAGAAAGCCGGGTTCTCCTTTCGTTCAATAGATGTGTCATTAGTCCGATCAACTGTACTATACGATCGAGCTGGTCGTTGCTTATCCAGAGAGAAAGAGTAGGAGAGGGAGGAATTGTATGCTTCCTTGCATTCCGCGAGGAGACGAGTCTCTGATGATTATAATCTCTCTCATTCGAGAGCATCTCTTCGTATGGGATGGTTATGTATGGTGGGAAATGTCAGAGACTTGCTGCGCACGAAGAGACAGCGTTAAGGTACGTGTGTTCATTCTGAAAAGCTTTTCTAGTACAAAACTTCAGCCAACTCGTAAGATCGCCAACTAAACACTCGCTCCTCACTCTCATAGCGCGCGAAAGACAGAAGCCAAGTAAGCATTCCTCCGTACCCACATAGCGAGTTCCAACGCGTCCTCCCTCCGATGAGCCTGGTCGCGCAAGTCCCGCATGGACGTGCTAACCTCCGGCATCGTCTCCCGCAGCAGCCCCACCACCTTCTTCCAGGCATGCTCAGAAAAGAACTTGCTTATTGTTTCTATACCACCGTGATAACTAAATCTGACCTTTTCTAGCCCCGTAAATCGCTGCAGATTCGCGGCGCAAATCGTCTCTTTATCCGCGACGACCCAGGTACCGATGTCTAGCGTTTTGATAGCTTGTACGTACTTCATAGGCATAGTTGCTAGGAAAACACGTAGGGTGTAGTCGCTAGCGATGTCGAACGTGTTGAGGCTGTAGAGAAAAAGGGCTGCTTCGGCGTGGATCTGCGTGCAAACGGCCAAGAGGGGAAAAGCGGGCGTGTCGTGTTGGTAGGTGCAGAGCCTGTCATGGTGCGCGGCTAGGATAACGGTGCTGTTGCCGAGCGCGTAGTGGTAGATGAGGTTTCGTAGCTCTGCTGGTAGACGGAGGAGAGGAGAGTTCAGTCGGTTTGCCACTGTAGCTTCGGCTTTCGTGACTTGCGCCATCGTTTTAGCTATCGAGACGTGTATGGGTATCGCGGCCGTTATATGGGCTGAGCGGCTGTGGTGGTGGCGTGGTCGTAGAAGTGGGAAAGTGCGAGGAAGCTTGGGGTGCACGTGCTTGCTAAAAAAGGTAGTCAGGCAAGTGAAGGAGAAGACAACGTTCCAGATCTAGTTGGTCATAGATAACGAGTGCATTGTTTGACTTGGCGAAGGTAGAACAGAAGAGAACCTTTGAAGTCTTTAATTTTGCCTTATCTTGTAGGAAGATGAGCTTGTGGCTGATCATCGATCTCAGTAAGCTTTGCTGGAATAAACACCTGCACACCATCTCATTTCAAAGCGCCCTCACTCCCTTCCTTTCTCAGTGCTCATAAGACTGCCCGTTGCGTGTCTTTAAAAGACAATTGCTTCTTGCTCTTCGGCCTCCTCTTGACGCTCAGTCCGGAGTATCTCAGTAAAGCTCTTCTCACTGCTCAATCCGGAGTGTCTCATCAATGCTACTCTCACTGCCCAATCCGGTTCCCTAGGTATAAACTTATATGTCGAAATTTTGACACCCGGTACATCCTTTCGTAGACCCTCCGCCAAAACCCGCAGCCCGTCCTGATATCGGGGAAGCATCAAATGATTGTCTGAACAGCTGTGTTTCAACCTAATTTGCTCCAAGCCCTTGAACTTTGCGAGTGAGGATGCAACGCGGGGATAATGAGTGTCGATGAAGCAGAGTGGGAGTTCCAGCGTTTTGATAGCTTCGATGGACGATTTAGTCATGCTAGTAACGAGGTCGTTGATCATGGTCGTCGATACAAGGTCGAACACACTGAGGCTGTAAAGCAGCATCCCAGCCTCGGCGGTGATCTGGGTGCATACTTTCAATAGCCCGAATGCCAGTGCAAATTTGTCGCGATATAGTACTAGTACTTTGTCGCCGCGTAAACTCAACCTGATCCTCTGACCGCCCAGCGCGTACACCCAAATCTTATTCCGAAGTTCGCCCGGTAGGCGGAGAAGAGGAGAGTTTTGTTGATTTGCGGATGTTATTTGCGCCGTTGTTTGCGCTGTCGATATGGATTTGGACATTTGCAGTTGAGTGGGTGGAGTTGTCGGGTGCTGCAATTACTGTACTCTCGTGAATGGAAGAAGTCACAAATATCGTGAGAGCGCAACAGGGTTTTGAATTGCAGGCGATGCTAAGACATTCGAAGAAGTGAAAGAGAGCGTTTTTAAAGCCGTGCACTACGATAGCTTATTACATTAGTAGTGCTATACCTTCATACGTATGCATATAGGTAGTGAAGAAGATAGATAATTTTGACAAGACCTCGGGAAGGAGGGCAGTTAACGATCCTTCTAATTCTGCATGAAAGTTGACTTTGGCTGATCCTCATCATCAAGTAACTTTACTAGAGCACGATTCCTGAAATCCGCACCTTCGATTGTTTTCCTCGATCTCGATGCTCGAAAGCTATCCTGTCATTTTGTGACAGCATCCCGAATCCCACTGTTTGTCCAACCATATATGTTAACTGCCAACCGTCTCAGTAATGTCCCGTACGTTTGTCGACCATGTCACCGTCCCACGTCGTAATCTTGACATCAGGGATCGTTTCCCGCAGTAGTTTCGCAAAACAACCCACACGAGACAAGTCGGAGTTCCTCGACAAAAAGGAATTTGTATTGTAGCGTATCCTGATCTCCTTCAGACTTTTGCATTGAATCAGATGAGGTGACGTGTGATCTGGACTTCCGCAGACGTCTTTAACGTGAATGACCAGTATCTCAAGGGTTCCAAGCTGTGTTGTACTCATACTACTCAGGAAATTATTGGTGCTGCTGGCGTCTGTGGAGAAGTGGAAGATGTTGAGGCGGTATGGGAGAAGGGCGGCCTCAGCGTGGATTTGTGAGCACACTCTTAGTAGCGCGAAGCGTGGGATGGGCTCTTCTGAGCAGAGGCGTGGTTGTGTTGTTCCCAATAAGACTCTATGTCCGCCCAACACGTATTTGTAGATCTGGTTTCGTAGCTCGGCAGGAAGGCGGAGAAAGCGGGAGTTGCGTTGGTTCGCTGATATTTCCTGCGCCATTATTGAGTTGTTGAGACGGGCCTGGGTCTTTGGCGCTGTAAAGTATATGGGTAGAGCGGTATCGTGGTGTAGCCTTGTAGACAGGAAAGTGAGAGAGTGTGTGGAGGTGCAGACAATGCCTGAAATAATCGTGGGAAGCGATAGAGCGTTTGCGTGTCCGTGCGCTGGGACGCATCCGCACTCGTCTCGTCCATATTTTGCTTTCGCAAGTATTTCCAATCCCTTTGGCACTAAAAGATGATCGTACGTGCTTACGGGGAGAAAAGGCTGGTATTAATAGTGCTGAACACTTTCTGATTCTATGGAGAGACGGATGTATAGTACATCATCGATATCGGAAACTTTACCAAGATAAAACATCCGCCAAACTCATCTGAGTTACTCTGCTTGGCCTGTAGTCTTTGCAGCCTATTCGTTTGACTTCGTAAAAGCAATCACCCTCCACCCTCCATACGATGGTCCAAACCCAATCCACCTTGTCTCAGTGATATTTGACACTGCTCAACCCAATGGAAGCATCCCATGTCATGACTCTAACACCAGGCTTATAGTTTCGCAGTAACGTACACAATGTCCGAAGGCAGGCATGGTTGTACTCCGTTGATTCGAGGTCTTTTCCAGCTAAGTTGATCTTGATTTCCTCTAGACCTCGGAAATAGGTAAGCTGTGACAATAGATCCGTGGGTCTGCAAAGGATTACAATGTTGTATGAAATCCTGATCACTCTGATGGCTTGGATTCCTCTTGTACTGGCGGACGCTGTGAAGGCAGGGATGGAGGTGTGTCCGAGGAAGTTGAAGATGTTGAGACTATACGCTAGAGTTGCTGCCTCTGCGTTGACTTGAGAGCACGTCTTTAACAATGCAAAAGCAAGGGCGTCTTTCTGCTTATAAAGACGTGACTTGCGATTGCGTGTCACCGGCTCTGTATATATTCCTATCCCGAGAACATGACCGCCCAATGCGTAGTTGTAGATTTGATTCCGAAGCTCGGCCGGTAGACGGAGGAGAGGAGAGTTGCGCTGATTTGCCGCCGTGCTATCTCAACATTAGCTCATGTACTTCCTGCGCATACTGACTCTCGTAGACTGCATACATGTGAGCGCGCGCAGCGTTGGCTGCTGTCCTCCGCCCCATCTTGGCAGGTGTCCTTCGAACTTTTGTTGCTGACGTGCGGGCGGAGATGTGTTGTGTTGTGATCTAAGCAGTAGGTAAGTGAGAGACAGCCCTGAAGAGCTTGGACCCGTAGGAGTGGAGTTGAGGCCCAAAACAGTAAGAGCAATGAGGAAGTTTGTTTGCGCAACCCGGCGCTTGGACGCTAGTACAAGTTCGATACGAGCTCAAGGCAAGCTGTGCATTCCACATGCATACCCTGATGTCATTCAAATTATTGCACCATTAAAGGTGGCTAGATATGTGTCGGATCTTACTACATAAATGCAACTGAGTCTGAACAAACAAGTACCTTCTTGAGGTAGTGTATACCTCCAGCTCGATAACATTGTTGTACAACCGCGAACATTTCTGGTGTGCTCAACCCAACTTATCCTTCGATTATGACAGTAACACCCGGTTTCATGCGCTTCATCGTCTCCGCCAGCATCCCAATATCCTGTTGCTCGCCCACAGCACTCAACAGTGAAGGAACCCTCGCTTTCTCGATAACCACCGTCTGCAAGCCTTCCAATTTCTCCAATCGTATTGACCCTCCATTGTTCCCAAAGTTCCAGAAGGACCGCTTCAGCAAACCACACCTACGTGGTTTGAGCTGGATGGTACGTATGAATTTAAGTTGGGCGGGGGAGCATCGTAAGAGGAAGTAGCGCATGGCGAGCTCGTGGTCAAAGGCAAAGACGCAGTAGGAGTACTGTAGCATGGCAGCTTCTTCGGAGATTTGCTTGCAGACGAGTAGTAGACCAAGGGTACTTTCCAGTAGGAGGGGTCGCAATAGGATCTCGTGAATCTGGCCGCTCAACACGTATCTAGCACAGATGGGAAGGTTAGTGTATGTTCATATGAGCCTGAGCAATGCGGGAAGGTCTATTCACTTGTAGATCTCGTTTCGCATCTCGGCTGGAAGCTGCAGAAGAGGGGATTCGGTAGCGTTGCGCGTAGTCATATTCGTGTTCTCTTCATGCGACGACAGAGCTGCTGAGTGCGCATTGGCTGCGCGCGTCGCGTCCGCCATCGTGGTCGATGTGTCGGTGCTAAGAGTGATGAAATTAGGAAGTTGCATTCCGAGCATGGAATCACTGGCTAGGACAGCTAGCGCTATAGGAAAGAAGAACGGAGGGTCCATTGCGCTAAGCCGTAAGTCGACTGCTCGCTCATTCACTGGGGATTCACCCAGTCTCGAATTTGGGCCGTTGAGTAAGTAACGAGGACGTTCTACCAAAACTAAACTAATTCGCCCAGTCGAACCCTCTAATTTAGACTTTGCGATCACCAGCGAAGAAGGAGCTGCTCATGACTCCCGCAATAGTGACAACGCGAACGACACTGGGAATACCCGCAGCTGAACGTCTCAGCGACTAATATTTACCACATCAGTCACACAAAAGCTAGCGTGCGCCTGACCATATCCTACTACTCCAGACGATGAAGCTCAAACGCCAATTCAACATCCTTGGGTGCGAATTCCAGAAGTCTAGGGCCCAAGCCAGCCTCTATCCGCTTGAGCGCCGCAATCTGCGACGGACGGAACGAGGACTTGGAAGAAGTTCCTACCACAACAGCGATGTGAATGTACTTCAACCCCGTCAACGTCCTCAAATTCTGAATACGCTTCAAGTCGAAGTCTCCAATGTCGTTCGTCCTGCTTGAATATTCCATAGCCTTCACGTAAAAGAAGAGCTTGGTAATGGCTCCAGTTTGTGCTGATGTGATGCGGTTCTTTAGGGCGCTTAGAGCGAAGTCGTTGAAGTACCAGAAACGATTGATACTAGAAAATGGGACTAGTGCAGTTTCGGTATATATCTGCCGGCATGTCGATTGAAGCGCGACAAAGGGAGTGTCCTCTTTTGGACCGCCTGGTAGGTTGGTGCGTGTGATTCTGACTTTTGGACCGTGCCAGGATGCTACATCTAGGAAATCCTTAGGCCCTACCTCCAAATGTGCCTCGTGGAGAGCTGTACCGGCTGAAGAATTGAGCAGTCTGATGCGGTTCGCGATCCGCGACAATTCTTGCTTATTGTACTCTCCATAATCCACACGTGTCGATTTGATGAAGATGCTGAAGCCGCCCATGGCTTCGGCAAATATTTGATTGCGGACCTCGATTGGTAATGTTAGGAGCCTGGAGGACTGGACATTGCGGTGGCATATTCTCTTATTCTCTTCTGATTCTGGTGTGGCGTCTAGCATGCCGTCTTCGAGAAACCTTATATTCGGGTTTGGTACAATTTCTTGTTCGATTGACTTGTGCAATCGCAACAGCCGAAAAAAGGACTCAAGTGCATTGTCATCTTCCGTCAGGCCAAGAAGCTGGAGCGAAGGTGACGCTGATGTGTAGCTGTACGTGTCATCGTTGATATGCACCATCGCCAGAGCGTCGTCGTACAGTTCAAACGTATCCAACGCCTGATTTATGTTCCGTTCTTCGCGAAGGCGCTTTTCTTCCTCTTCCCTCACAAGATCACTTTCTATGTCGTTCAGATCGCTACCCCCTATGTTCCAGTTTGAGTCGTTCATATGAGTTGAGGCCATGCTAAGTTGTAGGTTTGAGCGTAGGTCAGTAGTCCTTCGTTTTCTGAGTTGAGTGTCGGAGCCGGCGAGGAGAGGACCCGGGAAGTGATGTCAGACTGGGGTGTATAGAGAAAGGGAAGTAAACACCAGGCGGCCGGTACACAATTGTCCAGCTGCGCACAGTCCATACCTTCGTGGGCACCATTACTGTCTCAGATTTACGTGAAAGTCGCAGTCGACAGAGTGACTTCGGATAAGCCTGCTCTATTCACTTGAGAACCGTCGGCAGACAGCCCCAGGGAATTTTTCAATTCAAGTTCATGAACAAGGCGTGTTTGTCACAAACCATATGTACCCTCAGCGGATACATGGTCGATTGCACACCGCCTTGGCAGCGCCAGGACTGCTCGTCGGATCACAAACGTCATGTATCAGAGTTTCAACGACATGTTGCGTCTCCGTATACTTTACTCGCAGTTTCCAGCCATATAGCAGTCCTTGCTCTTTTGATAACGCAGAACAAAAGAAGAGTAGTGTAGATCGGACAAAAAGAAATGAGAAGCCGAGTAACACGACGCGGATGGTGGCGAGAGGATCGAAACGTTGACTCTCTCCACTAACAGGAGAAATGGAATACGCACCTTGCGAAGAGGGAAAGAGAAGTAAGAAATAATTTGAACTGTACATAGCCTTGGGATTCTGCCAGCGTTCGTATTCGTACTAATGTAGACTGCAGTACACTTGTTCAGTATTTCCTTGTGAAGTGCTCCTGACTATTGAAGGGTAACACCGCATACAATGGTATAGATGTGGCTTTTCTTGACAACGTACGCAGTAGCGAGAAACCGGATAAAGAAGAGACATTTTCTAGGCGTCCTAGAATGGACGGCACACCAGAAGAGATCTGAAACACGCCGGTAATTGCGGTACGAATAAGCAAACAAGGGCCAACTTCCGCTGCTCAATCTATATGATTCAATGGCTGCGAATGTAGGAAAATCGAAAAAGATGGTGTGCGACAACAGACGAGATCCCCACCGCGAAGCCGTTAGCTGCAGGCTGCATGACATTGTTCTCCGCGTTGATCTCCGCAGTCCGGCTATCCCTTCTGGTGGCTGATCGAGGTGGGGCGTCGCGGGACCCCTGCATAAACAACACCTTGCGATGGAGAGACCGGGGGCTCTTGCGGTCCATATGGGAGCCTGCTGCGCTCAATGTTGTGGTTCCCCTTTCACCTTCCCCACCGCTTTTGGGTACATAATCTTACGCGCGTCCGGCCGCGATTGTTTACTCACAACATTTGTATCACCACAGCCATCACACCCCACTTGACCCGCCACCACACTCGCCCCGGTATACATACGCACAACAGCAATTAGCTAAACAGCTATTATATTCAAGGCGTCATGACGCTCCGCGACACATACACCAGGTTCCTGGCGACGCCCTCTTCGGGTGCGCTGGCGGACAATGCCTCGCTCCACTATGTCACCACCACGACCAGCATCAACGACGCGACCGCCATCATCAAGCACCTGTCTGTTCAGGAGAAGCTTCTGAAGAAGACCAAGGAGAAGGTGCTCAACGCGATTGAGGGCGGTAATGGCCTGAGTATCGACGTTGAGACGACTATCGAGTTCGTCAACGGCGGCGGCGCATACCTGCCAGGCCTGGATGACAATTTCGTCACCGACCGAACTGTGACGTTCCCTATGGTATGTGCCTGACTCAATCCACGTCCTCCCACCTCACTCAAAAAGGAAGCCGAGCATCTGAAGCCTACATTGACGCTCAGTCTTCAACTTTGCGTATTTTCTACAATGTAGTCTACAGACCTTCGGTTTCGTCCTCAAGACGGACGGGGTGCACGCCTTCTCCACGCGTTTACTGACACTGACAGGTGCACATGGTCCACTTTGACAAGTCGGGCAAGATTACACAAATCCGCCAGTACTGGGACCAGGGCTCTCTGCTCAAGCAGATCGACGTCATCGGTGCGCGCTCTCGCAACTGGCCCATCCGCGACAGCAGCGAACAGATCCGCCTCATCACATCCAACGCGGCAGCTGCACAGACCGAGTCGAGCGCATCGTCGCGGCCCTCAACCTCAGCTTCACGAGGCGCAGATGAGGTCTCCATCAGCTCCCGCTCGAGGGGATCAACGAACAATGCCATGAACGACCCGCACGCATCGCTTGCCCTGTTTGCGCCTCGCGAGGTTGACACTGAGGAGCGGGAGTCGCGCAGCTCTGGGCCGGCCGCGCCCCGCGCTCAATCTGCGAAGCCGCCTCCACGCGAGTACTCTGAGCTGTTCGCTGGCGCAGGGGGCGACTCACCGTCTCCTTCGCCCCAGCGCATCCCAGCCAAAGCAGGCAGCGGAAAGAACTTCAAGGCCAACCGATTGTTTGAAGAGGAAGAAGACGAGCACCCAGTCGCCCCGATGAGCATCAAGACGAGCTCCAAGAAGTACGACCACTTCACGTTTGGCGAAGGCGAGGAGACACCCAAGGTACGAGACACTGCGCGACCATCCAAGCACGACCAGAACCGCAACAGGAACGACGCCCACTGGGACTTTGACGACTTCGCCACCCCGAACAAGTCAAAGCCCAAGACGCTTCCTAATGCCGTTCGTCACTTTGGCTGGAGCGACGATGAGGTTGGTGAACACTATCAGCCAGAGGCGGAGGTTGCTACATCTCTGTCTCTTGCTACCCAGCTGAACCCCTGCTAACATATACCCACCACAGGACACCTCCCCCGTCCGCCGCCCCATCGTGCACAAGGCGCGCCCCGACCAAGACGCCCACTTCGACTTCGTCGACGAAGGCACACCCGAAGGCCAGCGCAAAGCCGCACCCACTAAGGGCGGACGCAGCAACAAAGGCCAAGGCCTCTACGAAGACCACGTCACGGACAAGACGGACGAAACCAGCGGCGACAACAGCGACGCAAGGCGCGCCCTGAACGATGTAACGCAGTCCAAGACGCAGACGCGCAACTCCATGAAGACACACTGGGGCACGCACGCTGACTCACCAGAGAACCGCGGCATAAACATTGCGGGTAATGGTATGGGTGGGCGCAAGGGCACAGAGGCTGCGTGGTCTCTCTTCGAAGAGAGCCCTGTTAAGAAGGAGAACAACAATGGCGCGGGGATTAAGACGGAGGGCGATGGCATGGGTGGTAGGAAGGGTGCGGACAAGTCGTTCTGGGACTTTTAGGCGGCGTCTCAACCGCACAACCCACGGCTGTCGTTTACAGTACCTGCTGATGAGCGGCTGTTGAGGTTTTGAGGAGTGCACATACTGGAGTGGTGTTCCAGCGCTGAGTTTGTGTATCAGGTCTTTGTTGGCTTGTGTATTCTTGTCATCTTCTCATTCCGCCGCTTCTGTCTGTTCCCTTACAAGTGTCATTTTGCTTGCAAAGGGCGTTTGGCATGGCAGTAGGTTGGATGGACATCGGCGTGGACGACTGGCTATGAGGGCTTATGCTGTAGCATAGTGACCACACCTTTGACATCAGACAAGGCATGTAAGAATAAAGAGACTTTTCACTGAATTACAGTCCCCAAACTTTGATCTTTATCAAGTGACCGTTATAAGCTGAGTGCATGTGAGTATTTCGGCCGTTCGAAGGTTCTGTATCGTACATCCCACCGTTGAGTAGCGGACTCGTCTGGTCTTTATCCAACCGTCCTGGTTGAGACAGCAGATCGTACTCATTTCTATTTTGCTACCCTCAAGACACAGAAACCGTATCCTCATTCCTCGTAAAAACAATCTCAACTTCATCCCCCACCCTCCCCTTATCCATATCCCCATCCCAAGGATCAAACGTGATATCAGCCTTCAACCCCCATCTCCTGCCCAGTCTTTTCCGCTCTTCATACGACGTCCTCGCTCGCATACCCTCCCACACAGCACGGAACGCTTCGCCCTCTCCTTCCCTCTCTACCTCCTGCCCCTCCTCTGGATTATCGAACCAGACTCCCAGGTCGACAATACGGCGCAAGTCGTCGGTCGGTTCCATAGACGCCCAGATATCAACTGGCGCGTACTTGACGCGCACCTCTTGTAGCGGTGTCGAAGACGACGTACCGCTGTCATGTGTAGAAGTGAGCATGAGGAGGGCGTGGACGCAGACTTGCACCCAGTACCGTATCTTAAGCGGTAAAGCGAAGCCTGGACGTGAGACGCTGCGGCTTTGGTGTGAACCGCGGGATATGAACCGCAGAGGAAGTGTTATGCTGCTGAGATTGAACGTGGGCGAGGCGAGGTATGTGAAGAGGGGTGTGACTTCCATGGAGACGAGGAGGTCGAGTTTTGTGGCTATGTCTGCGGCAGAGGCTTCGCGGGCGGGGTCGAGCGTTGGGTCGGCGAAGGGGTAGTGGTTTGAGAAGCCGAAGGGGTCGTTTGCGTTGGGGGTTTGTGTGGTGGCTGGCTGGCGGAAGGATGGGTATAGTGATGCGTTGGAGGCGTCGTATATGTTGTCGTCGTAAGATCCGCCTTCGTGGTCGTATTCGTCGTAGTGGCCGCTGTAGTAGGCGCCTCGGATGTAGTCGACATCGACTTCCTCTTGGTCATGCTCCCAGTACCACACGTCCCTTCCTTCTTCTCGGTCAGGTGGGTAGTGTTGCAGATTGGGCAGGTTTTCCCAATCTAGCTCTATCTTCTTTAGCCATTTCAGCCATTGTCTACCGGGTCCATTGGGTTCTTCGATCTTCTCTAGCAGTGCTTTGAGAACAAATGGTCCGCAGCTGAGGTAGACGGTGTGGTTTTTGAACAGGATCTCGAGGGCTTCACGGGCGACTTGACGGTTGAGGAGGAAGTATTGGTGGCGGGTTATGAGGAGGATGGCAGCAGCGCTGGGTTTGAAATATTTCAGGTGACGTCGCTCAATGGCCCGGTCAACGCTGAATTCTTGCGCAGCGAAGGTGTAGTCATATATCTATATTACCGTCAGCCTAAGATCCAACGGAGTGGCGGCAGAGATGTGTACTTGATCCCGCAGCTCTCGTGGGAGCCTGAGGAAGGGGAAAACATGCGATGGCACGGCGTCCTCATGTTCAACATGCTCAGCATCAACAGGCACGGCGGATGCGGTGGCGTCCATGGTGCCTGCTCACAATTCACGCGTGCTTTTCGTGTTGCGAACCAAGCTTTGCCCCGCAGCGCTATCTGCATCGTGACGATCTTCACGTGATTGTGGTGGTCGCTTCGCATCCCCGCCCGCATTTGCCCATCCCTGTCGTGTGGCGAGGCCGCGGCGCAGCTAGCACCTGGATCAGGCAGGCGCTTGACATGTCCCATGGATGAACGGGCCGATTCCTGTCTGTAATGACCGTCATCTTCGTAGCGTATCCGTACTGTCGGGTTGGCAGCAAATCGCGAGGCCAGGCACGTAGAAATACCTTGGGTACTGTATAGAGTCTTCGAGGTTTACTCATCTCGTGCCAACATCGTACGGTAATCGTGCCTGAGGCATTTTTGCTACCCAATGCCACCCAAATCGATCGAGGTACAGTCATCTTAGGCTTCGGTTGGTACCGAGGCGAAATGCTTGCGCTGGTAGTTGCACTACTTCGAGGTAAACCTCCGTTCAACAACCATACTGCTCCGGTAGTCATGACCGAGATGAGCTTTCAGTGTAACTGCAATCTACGAGTAACCGTTGCAGCGCCGTTCGGATCCGGCAATTACAACTATATTGCCTTCAGGTACGCGACCGCTGCTGTGCTGCCGAGCTTCAGGGGCCTTGCAGCCGGAATGTCACCAAGCCTCAGATCATCGGAGCATGTCACTGCAATGTCCGTCTAATGATGTACTGCAAGGGAGGCACGGGAGCCTTACCGACTGGTCTTGTCTGCCGATAGACTTTGAGCGCGTAACGACCCACCTGGGGTAGTCCTGCATTGTGTTACGGTCCGCGCCCCAACAGTTCCACTTACCAACGGATACCAACTGCTGGCAGGTTGACGCGTCCGAGTACAACATCTGTCCTTCAAGCCTGCTTTTGGAGGTAGCTGGCGTGCTGATAACGTGTCGCGCCTGTGCAACGTAGAGGCACGCGCGTTCGATGATGCATGTCCATCGGTGGCTTGGATCGAACAACGACATTGACAGACACAAAACCTGAATCATGTATGTTGTTTGAGAGCACAAGAAACCGTTCGTTCCTGGTGTGGTCCACGTTCACAGCAACATGGAAACCATCGCCCGGGCACTGCCCCAAAAGCGTGCCATACAAACTGCAGACACAACAGCATGTAAGCCTTATATCTCTTACAGCCTAACAATGCTGTGACCATAACTAAGCCTTCCAGATCTTTCGATGCAGAGTTGAACCATGGAAGCAGACGAACACCCATGTTGTTGAGCTCACAAGCCGACGGCCCTGAACGTGGTGAATGGTAAGTTCTGCAAACTTGAATTACGGTTGGCTTGACCGTGGATTCATGTGGGATCCGGAGTTGGCTCCTCAGCCACCGTTGCTCGATCAGAGCACTGGAGGACCAAACATGCACTGGCACCTGACACAAGACCGTTACGTTGTAAACCTGGTCGTCGGGTCTGCGTGTGGTAGCACCGCCAGACCGAGTACAGTGCGAGGAGGCGGCGATACCGCCATGTGGTGTAGAGTAGCTTGACCGGCTTGGACCGACTACGTGATACTGATTCAAAGGATGCGTAAAGATGGACATGTTTCGGCAGCAGTTGCCGTCTGCAGTCCAGTTTCAATGGTCCTAGTCGTTCTAGGCAGACACACTCCAAGTAGGTTAGCCGATCGTGTGCCCCGATGAATACGCTGATGTGATCCTTTGTCTGAGACAACACCGCGGTCCTGCTAGGTGATCGTAGAGCCATAAATGATGTTGGTCATTACTGTGACGAGTTGAGTCGCTGATATGGTTCAGGGCTTCCAATGGCGGCTACAAAGAACATGGGACTCACAGTTCAACAATAATCGATGGAAGATTGCTGTACAGAGGCTGGTCGTCCGAGATAGCAGCGACGTCGATGCTCACATGGTGTCCCGTGTAACCTGGTCGATGGATGCGGGTCCCAAGGGTTCAGCATCATGTGCATTGCAGGTTCCAAGAAGCAGAAGTAGGGATAAACGTAACGGTCACAGACGATCTGCCATTTCGACCAAAGAACGATGGAGTAAAAGTGGACAGGAGCAAGGGGTGGGTTTATTACCAAGGGTACAGAGGAGGCACAGCGCCTGTGTGACCGCGGAGGATAATTGGCAGGGCAAAAGAGGCTGTGGGCGGCGGGAGTTCTGGCAGAAGTCGGGCCAGGAGGACTGGTTAATGGAGCGGGATGATTGCCATGCGGGAAGCAGGGTTCGGGAGCGCCGTGCCCTGCAGACTTGTGAAGCTCAGTGCATGAGTGCATCCATCGGAACAAAGCGACGATGGGGGCAGTGTCGGTGGCCCCGGAGACGCGAAGTGTGGATATGTTCAGTAGTGGTTCTGTACCGTGGTCTCGCACAGCGCTAGCCGGCCAAGTATGGCCATGTTGTTTGGCATGGGCACGGGCTAAGGCGACTACTGCATGCCGGCAGCGAATGCAGGCTACAGAAGGATGCGCGCGCTGCAGGCGGCCATGAGGGATCGGCGCAGGAGGACAGCGTCGCAGAATTTGCTTTTGCTCGGCGCTTTGGCCGGTTGGGTAGCAGGCGTGGAGGGCTAGTGACCTCGTGGCGGTACAGCGGGCGGCGGGATAGCAACACGGGTTTGGCTAAAGTGACGACAAACTACAAGGCCCTGCCATGCTCGCCGCCCGTGTCTGCTGCTCGCGGGGCTCAGGATGCCGTGCCTGCGCATGCGTCTGCTCTGCACGCTGGAGCGGAACGAACCTCTGGCTGCCACAGCCGGGCGGAGTGGCCCCTCGCGGGTCGGCGGTGGCAGAGGGAATTGCTGTCATGGGCACCGCCATATGACAAGTGCACCAGTTCGCGCGCGGAGGCAGGGAGCCCATATTAAGTGCAGCTAGCCGCCGCTAGACGGGCAGCTTAAGATACACGAGGCCTCGATTGAACGATTTCCCACGTGCGGCCGGCTCACCTCTGGGCACCACCATATCCATTAATTGGCTGGCTCCCTGGCTGCCCTTGCGACTCGTCAAGACTCAACCGTCGCCTCTAGCTTTCTGTTGCGCCGCACCTCCTCCACTTTCCAGAGGTCCCTTCCCAACGTCGTACGACGTCCCTACGGCTAGACCGCCGGCTGCCCGCTGCTTTGTTGTGCTCCTTGCTGCCCTCCGCCCCAGGACATGTACTCGACCCGGTAGTCTGCTGACTGCTGCTCTCCTTCCCCACGCGCGCGAACCCAGAGTCTCTCGACTTTGTCCTCGTCGCCGTGTCAACTGGTACCATCTCGACCCACCGCGCCCCAGAGCCGCCCCAGCTGGCCAATTCTCACCACGACGCCTCGCTCGACGCCCACGTCGTGCACTCGTCTTTTAGGGCGCCTCCATCGTGTCAATTCCAGATCCCGCCCTCTGGACGCCGTGTCCCATCTGGCCTGGGCAAAGGCACCTTTGTATTGTCCCTGCTGCAGCGTCCGCCGACTAGGGAGAGCACGGCAGCCGCATCTCCAGCTCTCGTGGACTTTTTTGCCAGGAACCTTGTTTGCTTTTGTCCCGACTCGTACCGCCAAAAGAAGTCATTGACGCCGGGCATCCTCGCAGCTGCCACTCCTGCAAGACACGGCCATCGCTCCTGCCCTTCTCGCGGTAATCGGCGTGGATCGTTACCTTGCGCTTGCCATTAGAGTTGGGACGGTCTTGGCGCTCCATTCGTCGTGCCCCACTTCAACCCAACTGCCATCTTTACTTTCAGGGAGGAACGAACCATATCCCGTGCGGCCTCGCTGCCCGTTACCCTTACCACGCCCTGCATCCCTCTTCCACTCCACGCCCCGGCCACTACCCTTACCCAAGCTTTCCTTCCCGGGACTCGGCCCTCTTTTACTCTTACTTCTCCATCTTTCCCACCTGGCCCATCTACGATTGCCGAAAGTGACCAAAACCACTTGCTCTGGCAAACGTCATTATTCCGCGCCTCACTGGCTCCACTATCTCACCCGTTCGAGTGTGGACATCATCACGAGCCCAAAGCCCTCTCGCTACCACTAACGGCGAGCACGCACGACTATTTTATAAGGTACCTCGTGCGCCGCCTCCATATCCATGAACTCTGTTTCTCAGCGTACCACGCCGCACGGAAACATGTCGCAGAACAACATGCAGAACAACATCACTCAGGGCCAGCAATCTCTGCCGCCACTGTCCTCACTCACCAACCGTCTACCTACGGCTGAGCCGACCCCGGCACAGCCCAGGCAGCACTCAGAAGCACGCGAGGTTCGCGACTCAGGCAATTGGTCTCTTGCCCAAAGCAAACGTGAGTTCTCACGATACCTATCGTCTGCACGTTATTGACACGCTTTGTAGACTCATCAACTATGTCCCAGTCCTTGGGACTACACGTGCAAACACTACTCAACCCTTCCGATGATTCCCCATCAAGAAGTTCGATACCTGAGACGCCATCATCGGCTAGGTATCCGTCTGGCCTCTCCCAGACGTCTCAGGTACGCATTTTATGATTACCTATAAACTCGTCTAACATAGCAGTAGCATGGTGTTCTACCTCCACTCAACCAAGGGTTCGACAGCCGGCTCAGTATCGATGCCGGCTCTCATTTTGACTCTCGACGCAGCAGCGTAGACAGTCGGATGAACGCTACCATGGGTCATCTGTCCATTCACCCACAGTCACCATACGAGAGCCAAAATGCGTCTCGAGTTTCGCTTGTCTCGAACCTCCAGCAGCAACGCGGCATCACAAATCCTGACGCGCGCCCTAACGGCACTTCTCCTCTGTCACCCAACCGCGCTGCTCCGCGTGCCAACCATCCCCCTCGACGTGCCCCGGTCATCAATCCCAACCCCAGAAGCGTGTCTGGCATGCCGGATCCCATGGCGGCGGCTCCGACTAAGGGTTTTGCTTGGGCCTTTCCCGCAGATGATTACGACCACGAAGAGAAGAGGACGTCCAGTAGCGGCGAGTCTAGCGTAGACCGATCCAACGCCCCTTCGCGTCAAGGCAGCTTCGCGACGTCGGTCAACAGCAGCATCTTCACCACAGACTCCAAGCTACCACCCGGTCAACAACGACTGAATGATGGCACGCCTCCCTACTCTCATCCTTCATCAGACGTACTGACTAGTTCAGACATCCCTAGCACTCATCATCACTCCATGCAACATCGCAGCGTGACTAGCCTGCAGAATGTTGATCCCACCAACCCGCTTGCGCCTGGAAGTGGAAGTTATAGCAGGACCCCTGAGCTTCGAGTCAGCCACAAGATGGCAGAGAGGAAGCGTCGTAGTGAGATGAAGAACCTGTTCGACGATCTTAATGGCATCCTCCCCAACAGCCCAGGCAGCAAGTCATCTAAGTGGGAGATTCTCACGAAGGGTAAGTTCACTCATGAACTGCTGCATATGTTTGCCTGACGTGTCTTAAGCTATTGAATATGTCACAAGCCTGACCCGCGCACACCAAAGCGCTCGCGAAGAAATCAGCCGCTTGCGACCTGATGCGGAATACTGTCGTCGGGCCCAGGAGGAGAACGAGCTCCTCCGAGCAGAATTGAACGCTGTGTGGAACGCTCTCCGTCGCGTCGATCCATCCAACTCTCATGTCTACGGAAGTATGACAGGCCAGTTCGCACAAGGACAACCCGCAACTCCTGCGTCCGGAACCAACGTCCTTCCACCGCTACAGCAGCAGCAACAGCAGCAGCAACAGCAGCAGCAACAGCAACAGCAGGGGCTCTCGCAACAGCCACCACCATCGCAGGCTCAGTGGGGACCACCGCCGCATGGAGCCTCTATGCAGGGACCGATGCAAGGCGTCGAGTTTGGCGGTATGCGGCCCTACGAGCACCCTCACCGTTGAAGCAACCCTTCTTCACATCACTGTCGTCTTGCATGAGCAACGCGGCTGCTCAAGTCACTCGAGCCTTCACCTTCACTGGACTGTATTTCTGGGTCTGTTTTCTGCCTTACATCGTGAGGCTTCACTTCAGCGTTTTCTGTTTATTACTTCTACACCAACGGACGGGTACACGGTTTAGCCGACTCTGTTCGGACCTAGGACTAGCTGTCCCACCAACAACGGTTTCAATTATCTACCGGCTTTGTTTCACGACCCTTCAGCATCGAATGTATTATGACACGATCCTATGCGACATCATCGGCATACTCGACACCCCTAGAGGGTCTTTCCTTTGTTCACCTACCGGATCGTAGGACGGCGTTTTATGGAGCGGCTCATACCTTTGGAGTGAGAGGGCAAGGAAAGCTTCTCGGAGAAAGGTCGGGAAAAAAAGTATATGTCATGAATCACTAAATCGGTGAATCGGGTTCCTCATGTCGGCTCCAAGAGTGGGATCTTCGGCCATAGCAGGCGTACGGTTGGGCTTTGGGTCATTCCCCAGCGATTAATCAGTCTTTCAGTCGGTTTTGGCTCCATCACTGCATGTAACCCGGGACTTTGGTCCCCGTCCCCGCCATCGTTCTACACGTGGACATGTATCTGCAACCAAGGAGGACCATGTTTCTCAAACATGCATTAACAGCTGTTAGCGGGAGACCTACCACAAATTCTTAAACATGGATCGTCGCTGCAGGTTTGCGCGACCGAACTATACCCACACACCCTCTCTCGTTATCGCTCACTGCACTTGTACTGTTGTTGATGGAGTGTATTGGAGATTCCAAATCCCCGGGTCGTCACGCACGCCTCTTGCCGGATCTTGCCGACACGTGTAAGCATGGCTGCCTGACGTATTGCAGTTAAGTTTCACTGATGGTGCTGTCGTTGTTTCGATGATCTGTTGTTCTGACTGACAGGCGACGGAAGGCTGTTTGCCGCTGTACTAATGACTCGTATCTCGTCAATATTCCCCGATCCCCATCATCCCCTTTATCTTTGCGCGCCATGCTGTTCTTCAACACACGCTTGACTAACTTCGCTTTCGCTTGTTTGTTAACCACCACAAAGTTTAGGTCTGCATCCGCACAGCCACGTTCATACACTAGATATTCTGTAACTTGCAACGTTTGCGCGTGGTGGCGTGGCGCGGCGTGGTAGTTCTCTTGGTTGCTTGGTTTCTCGGTGAGTTTGACATTGGCGGGGGGTTGGCATTCGATGGATGGAGCAGGTGGAGTGCACTTCGTTCTTCGACACGAGGTTCATAACTGCGCCGCAGCACGTGGGTTTCGGGATGTGGAGTGCAGTCCTGCCATGTGGAGAGTACCTCTTTGGACATGACTTGCAAATTTGACATGACTTGTAGCTATAGGATAGGCAAAAAGGGTGCTGGAGTGCATATGTGTCAGGTAGCCGCGAGGTAAATTACAGTTTGCGACTAGACTGAATCATGTTAGTGCGCGGTCGGTAGGGAATGCCGAAGCCCTGAAGTGGCAGTGTGCGCGACGGCTAAGGGCAAAAGGCAAAGTGAGTTTTCCGTAGACCTGGTGTGGCTGGTGACGGTGGGGTGGTAAGTTTGGAGTCGGGAGGTAGGGACTTGGTGTGTATATCTGTCTGCTTATGGTGATCGGTGGTGATCTACAGGCTGCGGTGTTTTCTAGGAGAATTATCTAGGTCCGAGATAGAGTCATGTTGGCTTGACTTGGGATGGTGATGTGATCCATATACATAGTTTGTCTGAGGCGCATGCTGTAGTCACTAGACTGATTGGAGTAGTATAAAGGCGAGGATCACAGCACGGAAAGCTCGATGGGACAGTTCACATCATGACATTAACTGGTAAATGCCGAATTAAATGCGAAGAAAAAGGCGATCGCAAGACGCCGGAAGGGTATAATTAAAACATAAAATCTAACCATCATCATAGAAGAAATCTCTTCAAAGGAGTTCGAGATAAGAACATTACACTACCCACGATGCAAGATAGTATCCAACGGGTTCTTAGGTTCACCAATCGTTTCCTTCTGCACCTGTTTCTTCTGCTTCTTCGTCATGAGGCCCTTGGCCTTGATACCACGCTCTTTTCGTAGTTTCTTGAGCGCCTCTTCGGTCATTTCTTGACGGAGGATTTGTTCAACGACGAGCTTCTTGCGACTGCGCTTGTCGCCGCGGCCGATGATGATGCCCGCGGTGATGTTGCATGTTAGACTGCAACTTAGGATGATAGCGGTGACTTCCTTGGGGCGGTCTTTGTAGTAGATACCCCATGTGGTACCTCCCAGTGCGCATTGGAACATGGAGTGGAAGTCGAGAAGGACGATGATGGTGATGAGGAGGCGGATGGAGAAGGCGTGATGTGTATATGTCTCGTGGGGCCGGTAGAAGGTATGTGACTTCTCCAGTTTGCTTTGGTGGTGCTCGAGTTTCTTCTGCTCTTCGGCGGTGAGAACGGGGGCCTCGACGCCTTCTTGTTCTGCTTCGCCTGTTTCCCAAGCGTTGGATCGCGGCATGGTCGGTAGTTCGTTGTGGTCTTTCAACTCTTGTAGTCCTCGTTCTTTACGTAGCCGCCAGGTCTTGTGCGCGTAGTAAGCGACAAAAGCCATGTGGTATGTGTCGACGATGCGGAAGGGGAACATGGTGATTCCAACAACACAGAACAAGGCAGTAAGGACCTGGTCAGCAATCTCGACGAAGTATGCCTGGCGATCACCAACGTAAATCCAGCCAATGAGGAAGAGTACCCATGCTGCTCCCCAGAAGGTGATAAGGAAGAAGTACAGAGTGACGAGGAATCCAAGGGGGTTACGAACATAACGTCCGAACCCCTTCATACTCCGCTTGAATCTTGCGCGTCGAGAGTGGAGAAGATGTCGGACATGGTCGTCCAGAGCTTCCTTCTCCTCGTCGGTCCATCCTGTCAATGAAGCACCATGTGGCAGTACGGCGTAGTGATGGCCAGCACCTTCCTCCAGAGTCGAAAGATTGGAGTCGATAGTGTTGTTTCTTCGCAATTCTCCGCGGCCTCCGCGCGCGGCTTGTTCTACTTCGCCTTGTTGTGTCATCTCAGGGAGTTGATCTTCCTCGCGTCTGGCCCCTCTAGCTGTGCCCATCTCTTCGTCCGAGGAGTCTGATGTCGTCTGCCCAAGATCGTATGTGGGCTGGCGGTTGTAGAGCCAGGGTAGATTGGGCAAGAAGAGTGAGTTCTGAACGTTATTCAGCGTAGTGAGGGCCGATATCTCGGGGTCTAGACTTTGTTAGCTAATACCCCAATGTAGCATACTCTGGGGTTACTGACCGATGACATCAAGCACATCGACAACATTGTTGCCCATCATGTTCTGGTTTGGGTCCTTCTGATGCCTCCGCATGTGGAAAGCGGAGGACTGACGAGTCATGCCTCTTCGTGCATTGCTGGCAGCCGGCGGACCGTTGCCGATAGCAGGGTTTGCTGTCGCCGTGCCATCTTCATATAGAGGCTGTAGATGGGGGCCCGTTAACTGACGTCTTAGGCTATCGTCGGCGACCATGGCGGCTGGAGGTGGGCGCGGTTCAGAACTACTTCGTCTTCGGCCGGCTTGCCATGTGCTGTCGGATCCCGGTACTGGCGCTGGGTCAGGTGTGGGTTGGGGAGTATTTACGCTTGGCTGATGCGAAGGTCTTCTTATACGAATCGACGAACTGCGCAGGCGCTGGATAGGATTCGAGGTAGGCGCGTGTGGTTGAGAGGG